TGAAAGTATCGATAGAAAAGTGAAAGGTCGCCGACCTTTCTACGATGTTCCAATGATGTCAAAGAGTGAGTGAGTGTGGCGTCATCACCTACCAGGCGAATGGCTCTTCTCTGGATGGAATCTAAGAGCATCAGCGTATGTTTTGGTGTTTTGGTGCTGAACCCCATATGTGGGAACAGTATTCTAGAACAGGCCGTATCTGCGCTTTGTAGATCATGAGAAGCTGTTGAGGTGTAAAGTAGCTTTTCGCACGGAACAAGAATCCGAGTTTTTGTGAAGCAGCTTTTGCGATGGATCTGACATGATTATCCCATGAAAAAGTGTTGCTGATGGAAATACCGAGCATAGATATGGTGGGCTTGGTGGGGATGGTGGAGCCAGACATTACAATATCGGGTATACTGAGTTCCGCCTTTCTAGAGAAAATGCAGGCTTGAGTTTTGGTGGCGTTGAATTCAACTAGGTTGTTTGTTCCCCAGGCTGTGATTTCAGCAAGATCTTCATTGACAGCATTGACCTGCCTGCGCCGTGAGTTCTTAGTTTCCTGGGAAGAAATGGGAATTCTGGAAGAGAACGCAGTATGGAGGGTAGTATCATCTGCAAAGCTGTGGATGGGGCAAGTTGTTACTCCCAACAGATCATTGATATGAAGCAGGAATAATGTTGGTGCCAAAATTGATCCTTGTGGAACGCCGGAATTGATGCCAATGGTATCAGACGATACACCGTCCACCACCACGTGAAGCGATCTGCCTGAAAGAAAACTCGATAAGAGATGGCATAGCTGAGGTGGTAAGCCGTATGATGGTAGTTTGTGGAGGAGTCCTTCGTGCCAAACACGGTCGAATGCTTTCGATATGTCCAACGCGACAGCTAGAGATTCCCCGTGTTTTTCTATTGAGGATTGCCATAAATGGGTGACGTAGGCAAGTAGATCTCCAGTAGATCTTCAGTGGCGAAAGCCGTATTGTCTATCATTGATGATTCCTGAGCTCTCCAGATATTTGATAAGCTCAATATTGATGGCTTTCTCCATCACTTTGGAGATTACTGATAACAGGGCAATGGGCCTGTAGTTGTTGGGCAGGTTCTTGTTCCCTTTTTTGGAGATTGGTTGGACTCTAGCTGTCTTCCAGCATGATGGAAAAATACCCGATTTGTACGAGATGGTAAACAACTTGCAGAGAATCGGTGTTAATTCTGGTGCACATTTTTTGAGGATAATGGGTGGAATTCCATCAGGACCGTTAGCCTTATTCGTTTTGAGACCAAGCAAAATTCGTCTGATAGTGCGTTGACGGAAGACGATTTCGGGCATTCGACTCTCAACGGGTGGAATGTCTAGCGGCAGGTAGGTATTCTATCTGAAATAACAAAGTTTGATGGAAGCGACAATAACACTGCATTGCTGAAAATATTTTAAATGAAGAGAGCGTATATTCTGAAATATAAGCATGCATATTTTCATGGATTTCTCCCGACTGATTCTCGATATAGAGATAGTGCAAGCTCGTCGTGACAGACCCTGTACATATATATACTTTATGTGAGAAAATTCCAAATTATACTTCAGGAAGAGGAAATATTGGTAAATGGATAAAATCTCGGTTTTTTGTATTCAATAAAGGAAATTTCGTCTCACACTGGTCCATCCACATCTCCTAACTATATCGAATTCATTCAATACTTCACGGACACACCGTATATTACATACCTGATTATTGGAAATTCCCCCTCCCCCCCAGAACTAAATCCTAGATGCGCCACTGGCTGCTAAATGTACCCCCATAATGAAATCAGAAGAGCATATAAAGGAGCAACTTTATAATTTGAATTCGAAATACCTAACAAACATTCAGCATAATTCGCGTGACTACGTAATTATGTCAAAAAGTTGGTGGGTTATTCATATTTTCTGTCGTGATTTTGGAGATAAGGGGCGAACCAAAAAAATCCTAATGAGTCGTGGAAAGTACTGAAAATATATGGTGTAAGAACTGATTAGTATAGCTACAATTTTTTTCACCACTAAAAGTTTGGAACTGATGCCTCTGGATAACGGGATATATAATCTTGGTCCCTGGGTAATGATACTGATATTCTTCATTGCTATACATTGGTGTATAATTAACTACTGTTACATCGCATTCTTCATTGCGTACTATTATGTGTAATGATATACAGGGTGTTTAATATGACTTATTTGTATATGAAGGTAGCAATAAACCCAGATAACACCGATCTCCTTGAGAACTGACGGCCGACAATCGAAATGTAATGCCTTCCCGGCGTCCAGGTGTCCACGCGGCCGCCAGCCGGCCGTAATACACATTACCGGCGATTAAATTATAGACTTTTAGAGGTGCTGCAGCGGCAACAAATTTCAATGCACCATATTAATGGGAGGGCTCAGCCAACAACGTGTATGCGCTTGCAAATCCGTATCAAGAAGTACGAGTTTTTCGAGCACTTTGCAAGTATCTGACAGCGAACTACAAACTGTGCGCATTTAAAGTTTGTAGTTCGCTGTCAGATGATAGACAATATATATGGCTTTCGCCACCGAAAATCAACTGAAGATTTATTTGTCTACGTCAGCCATATATGGCAAGCTTCATTAGAAAAACATGGGGAATCTCTAGCTGTAGCGCTAGAATTTATATCGAAGGCATTCGACCGTGTTTGGCATCAAGAACTGCTTCACAAATTACCATACTACGGCTTACCACCTCAGCTATGCCATATCTTTCATCGACTTTTCTTTCAGGCAGATCGCTATCCATGAGGTGGTGGACGGAGTATCGTCTGATACCATTGCCATCAATTTCGGCGTTCCACAAGGATCAATTTTGGCACCAACACTGTTCCTGTTTCATATAAACGATCTATTGGGAGCAACCATCACTTGCCCTATTCATGCTGTGCAGACGATAAGTACTCTCCATACTACGTTCTCTTCTAGAATTCCCATTTCTTATCAGGAAACTAAGAACTTACGACGAAGGCAGGCCAACGCTGTCAATGAAGATCTTGCGGAAATTAGAGCATTGGGATCTAACAACCTGGTTGAATTCATCTCATGTTGCCTGATATAACAATGTCTGGTATCACCATTCCCATCAAGACCACTATCTGTGATCGGTTACCATCAACAATACTCTCTCATGGGAAAATCATGTCCGATCCATCGCAAAAGCTGCTTCACGAAAACTCAGATTCTGGTTCCATGCGAAAATCTACTTAACACTTCAACAGCTTCTCATATGATCTACAAAGCACAGATACGGCCAGTTTCAGAATACTATTTTCATGAATGGAGTTCAGCACCCAAACATACGCTGATGCTCTTAGATTCCACCCAGATGAGAGCCATTCGCCTGTTGGGTGATGCCACACTCTTTGACCCCATTATTAGAAGACCGTTGAAAAGTCGGCGACCTCCACGGAAAAAGTTCTCTCTCTGCTATAATTCCATCACCAGCAATACCAGTCAGACGAACTCTACAGGCCCAATCACATCCCTTCGTCGTTAAATATGAAAAATGCCGAACAACACTCTACCAAAACCCGTTCGTCTATCGAACGGGGAAGCTGTGGTATTCTTAGCCAATGGAAGTATCGCCAAGAACTTATATAACCTCCAAAAGTTTGAAAAAATTCCAAAACCTACCTCCCTAGGTACGCGCGATGTTCCACGAACGTTATAGGAATTTTCTTTCGTGCGATCAAAGAGATTGAAAAAAATCGTTGCCCAAAGTGCTAAGAGACAGGTGAATTTGTTTTGATACATGAAAATATGTTGTTATTGGACTTCACTGATACCAGGAAAATGTGAAAATATAGTTGTAAGTAACTAATTAAAGAAGTAACTGAAATCATGCTTGTTTTATTTCGAATTATAATCACAAGCTCACTTCAGGAATAATAGAAAGCCATTTTTCGAAATGTTAACCTGTTGATGACGTTTTATTATACACAATCCTTCTTTCTTAATTGTAATTCAGTAATATGAAATATGATTTTTGAACTTGATCGATTCTGTGCTATGTATTTCTCCAGAAATGATGCAAAGTCAATAACCAATTACATTTTGAAATTGCCGCCACGCCTGTCAATGTTCGAATTTCGAATTAGTTCGACTTCCAAAACGCATGATGGTGGTTTGTAAGGTCCAGGCGGCCATACATTCGAAAATACTTGAAATATACAATAAACGATATTGTGGTTATGTATCTTATGTAGGTGGGTATACCAAAGGATTATACTCGTATAATCCTTGGGGTACACCTACTGAAAATACACTACGCGATAGATACTGAATATTTCAGGACTTCCCATCAAGGACCATATCAAATATTTTCAGCTGGGTATATCCAACGCTGAAAGAGCGCTACAATTGGTAAAAATGTTCCGAGCGAAGTTCCATCTAGCGATCCGTAGCTCCATTCAAAAAACATTTCGCACCTCATGGTCTAGAGATGGCGATACAATCACGACTGTATGATTGCTTTACAGGTACTCTATAATCCGAGTGAACAAGTAGCAATAATTTTTTGCAAGGGAATGCCAGGGCCTGAATTTAACATAAAAATATTGAAAATTAAAACTTTCCGAACCAAGAAAAATGTGCCGCCGCAAACGAAAATTTGAAAAATAGTTCTCATAATTATTATTGTATTATTTATATTTCATATCATTGTTCGTTTTTTTCTTTGCATGCTGTGGAGTTAATCTAATGGATTTTCATGGCCTACACCTCAATAACAAGACCTATTTGGTTCGGAAAATAAGAAAAATAACATTGAGACCAAATCAACTTTCTATCAAACTTTCCATCAGAGACCATCCCCAACTTTGGTCTTACAAATGAACACAGATTAAAATGTTTTGTGTTCACCTTATAGAACTACCTAAAGGATTTTATATTTTTCACATAACTTGTAGATACTCTTTAGTCATGTGAGTGATAACCTGAAACAAACATATAGCAGTAGAGGTGATTCATCTTTCAGTTCGTATATATTTGTAATATCTTAGATACAAATGACATATACTTAAGAAACATACATTTTGTCATTTCAACATTAATAAATCTATCACAAATAGAATTTACATTAGAAGAATAATAAACGTGAGCTTGAATACAATAAAAACAAATCAATACTATTATTGATGAACTGGGAAAACCTCCACAAAGCGCCATTTTGAGACATATGTGTCATTTCAAACTTCGTTGAGACTTATTAGTATCCTATTAGTAAATCGTCGGGCATATGGTAAACGTGAGAATTCAAAATTCAGAGAAAAGAGAGACAACAGAAGGATAAGAGGATCCCACCTATAATACTAGCCATTCACAAAAATTGCCCCAGTTATATATTGCGAGTCTTGGTGCCAGTTGTATAAACCTCTCTGTTAACTTAACGAGGAATCAAACTCATCAACTAAGGCATAGGTTGGCATGAATATAAACAAATTAAATATTTTCAATGGTCTATCAAATGCTTTATACAACTGGCCCTTGCACGTATTTTGATATTGATAATGATGGTTTGACAGGTTTTCCGTATTCAGCCAGTATAGTTGAAGCATTGCCGATTATTATGTTTACCATCAAATGATACCTACTTTATGGGTACCTATCCACATTCAAAGAGAATGTGAGCTTTCACATCTCAGATGTCACATATGTCATACATAACAGAAACAAAGATAATTTTTTGACACGTCAAGATTAAGAAAACATTACTCTATTACAAATTAATATTTGATTCGAGTTTTTTCCTTTTTAGCTACAATAACGGATCCTGCTATTATATCATTTCCCAAATTAAAGATGCAGATTACAAAATAGTTGATGTGACGAAAAATCGACAACGTATTTCATCAAGATCATGATACGGCGTTTTGAAAATGAAAAATATTGAAAATTCAACAATTTTAAAAAACATGTGCCCCTCAGAACATATACTGAAATGAAAAAATGTTTCCCAAATTAAAGATGCAGATTACAAAATAGTTGATGTGACGAAAAATCGACAACGTATTTCATCAAGATCATGATACGGCGTTTTGAAAATGAAAAATATTGAAAATTCAACAATTTTAAAAAACATGTGCCCCTCAGAACATATACTGAAATGAATCACGTTATTTTACTAAAAAGGTAGGCACATTATGGTTTCAAGTTTGTTCCTGTTGCAAAAATCCTACTTTCGAAAGACACAAGAAATTTAAAATTGCAAGTCGGCTCAACTGGTCTGTTATAACGAGGCTGTCCTTTGACTGCATAATTATTCTGAATAAAATTGAGGGAAATTCCATATAGTTGAAACTGACAACAGATTATTCAAGTCACGCTTCAAAATGATGATATTTCCTTTCAACATCTAGTGAAGCTATGCATCTTTGTATTAATCAACATTTTTGACAGTAGGTACCTGATTGGTATGATACACGAGCTTGTCGAAAACTGAATTGTATTACACATTATTCCATTATACCAATTGATGTATTTTTGTCAAGTGACTGTATTTATAAAAAGTTGATGTATTTTTGTCAAGTGACTGTATTTATAAAAAGTTGATGGAGTAAAGGCCGGGACACACATATCCGCGCCGAGTCCGCACCGCATCCGCACCGAGCCTAATCCGCGAGTCGGCCGACAGTCGGTGATGGAGGTGGGAGGCCACACATTTCCGTGTGTCGGCCGGCCTGCATGCAGTTGCATTTCAGTTTTCAGTTTGCCCTTCTTGAAGATGTTGAAAAAAATCAGTAGCAGTGGGTTAGCGATGGTAGCACTCGCATTAGAGGAAGAAGATACTAATTGAGGACCTCGGTGCAAGAACCGGGCAACTCCATTTTATGCCGAAATTGGGTTATTGTTTTTAACATATAGAATTTTTTCTTGCGCATCTTTTGGTGCAAGAATCAAGCGAATCCAACAATCTTCTATTGAGTTAACACGGTAAAGGATTCACCTCATGAGCAATTGAGGTGCAAGAGTCGGGCAACTCCAGGAGTTAGGAAAGTGAAAGTGAGCCCTTTCGAGATTCGGGGAGTGAATATATGTTCCAAAATCATAACTGTTGACGACGAGGGCCCAAATTCTGGCAATGTTAACGAAGATCAAGACGCATGAAACGTCAGCGATTCATCCTATGTTCAAAATAATATTTGTTCACAATATTTCTCGTTATATATTTCATTTTCAATAAAGGAGGAAAATTATTACACGAGTTTGACTATATTTTCAGAATGTTGTCTTTTTGGGGCAAGAAACAGGCAAACTTCTTTTTTAGCTTCTACAATGTGAATGAAAATAGTATCGACGTAAATACAGCTTTTCGAACGTAACTCTAAAGGATTCATACCATTAAGCATAATGTTTTTCAAGTTTCTCAAAAATATGAGTTTTTTTTCCATTCCCCAACATTTTAAAAAATTGGAGTTGCCCGTTGCCCTGTTATTGCACCGAGGTCTTCAATTGGAGACGAAATCGAAATTATCTTCAACACACGTTCTGTGTAATTGACTTTATTTTTCATTTGTTTGGTCGTTCAACACTGAAAACTTCCAAATTTCCTCTATTAGCTTTTCCGATTCCATGTTATAAACATCTGTGAGCCCGCAGCGCATCCGTGTTAAATTAAACAGAACTAGTTGGACACGGCGCGTACACGATGCGGAGGTATCGGAAGGATGACGGTGCGGACAAGTGTGGACTTTCTGGTAAGATTGCATCATTTTATTTTCTCGCCGTGTGTCGTCCAACACACGGCCGTCATGCGGTGCGGACTCGGCGCGGATATGTGTGTCCCGGCCTTAAATTGTAGAATATTTCTTCAAAGGATAGACACGCCATATCATCATCTCAATCAACTACTATCAATCACAAATTTTACACAAATTTGTACATCAATACAATATATGTATATGAAAAAATGGGATATGTGAAATAGCATTTCATACTACATTTATGAGAAAAAGAATACTGAAATGAAATTAAATAACGAATTTCAATCAAGTGGTAAATATTAATTAGTTCTATAATCGTGCGTTGTTTGAAAGTTCAATTTTGTATTGCATGTTAGCGAATTATGTATGAAATATAAAAATACTCAGCAAAAAATAGTATACTTATTAAAAAAATATGTACATTTAAATCAATAACTATATTAATAATATCGGGTAAATATTTTCAACAAAAAATAAAAACTATTCTCACATTTAACAATTATTTTAGTAGCCCAATTCTTTTACCTTCAGGTTTAGGACTATTCAGCGCGAATGTGTTACTGCTGCAAAAAGATATGAAATTATTTACTGATGAAAAACCTAGTTGAATACTGAAATGTACACTCTATATTTAGTAACGTTTATGCAAGAACTTAAAAAATTATGGATCATGTCTATAGAGAAATATTTTGTACATTCGGTTTCACATATCCGTCAGTTGAGTTTAGAATATATCAACAAATAGAAGAAACGTACAAGTCATCTTCATTTATTACCTTCTAAAATTTTATTTTAACCTTAATGAATTAAAAGTAGCAGTCTTAATGGTATTAATATTAAATAACGTAATTAATTATGAACGAATTGAACACAAGTTTTCAGTAGTACATACCGATAGGCAGTTTTTGACGTCATCTATACACACACAGGGTGACCCTGAAAAGTCTGTACTAAATTATACCAGACTCCTGAGACCAAAGTGAGATTATCAAACCAAACTTATCTCTATATCAAAACCCGTTTAGGCGCCACAGGGCGTTGGAATTGAATTTATATATTTTATATTTTCGTATATTTCAATATTGTCTATAGATATCGTTCTGAAATTTAGAAGGCACACTAAAATTACTATTTTGCATGAAAAACATTCCATACCATTTTGATTGACATACAGAATGTTACTTATTTGGAATACTGTTGGTTGAAAATTTGATGAAATTTTTCATGACATCGCAACTGGACAGGTTTCAATCTCATTCAATACTTTCAGCCCTCATGACAGTTTATGATATTGGTTTGCAAGTTAAATGACCAAAATTTATTTGATGCATACCTGAATACTCTTTAGAATTACTCAATTATTGTAGGTTCTTACTCAAACGACAGGGTGTTGCGTTTAATTAAATAATAAAAATTCAATTCCTACGCCCTGTAGCAGCTAAACGGAGTGTTTTGGTATAGACGTAAATTTGGTTCATCATCAGAATCATCTCACTTTGGTCTCAGGAGTCTGTTGTATCATTTTGTACAGACCTTTCAGGTATTATTTCTCAATATATTAATCAGATCCAAAAAGATCACATTGAAACTGTCATAAAACAATTATCTTCCATTCAGAGTATCATTCCCTCCTCATTTCGTTATTTTTCGAAATTACATAAGCTTATCAATACAAATATAGTGTCATATTATGCCAATACGTTTGACTACAAATTTTCCGACCCATAATTATCTCAAGATATAAGTTATTTCGATATTTCGTCGTCAGGATTATTGAATTAACATGAACACTTTTGAGTTTTAATAGATTTCTTACAATTGTGTGTTCGATTTCAATAGTTCCTTGAGACATGAGATAAAATTGATATTATTAGTAAATGTTCTCAGATGCGGCGAATCCGGGTACCACAGGAAATACTGTTCTACTTCATATTATGCAGTTATGGAAATAATTTTGAATTGTTCTTGCGATTGAAAGTAATGAATATGTATATTTTGGCATAAGAAGATTCAAAAATGTTTCATAAAATTGATGGAGATGAAAAACAAACTACTATTTCATTGTAGTTTGAACTGATTAATGGGTAGGTATTATATTCTAGCGGTAGTAGCGGTCAATCATTATAGCTATGAAACAATAATTTTATAGGAAATTATGTATAGATAATTTTTGCGTTACCCTGTAGAGAACATATGTTGAGAAATAAATCATATATCATTAAGAAACTCAGTGAAATGGGGTAGTTCCAAAGTCGAATTTTCACTTAAAATATTATGTAAATAGTATCCAGCACTTTTTTTGAACGCAACCACAAACATCAACTTCGTGTCGTGATCGTATTCAAAGTGGTTTGAGGTAATTTGCGACTTGTGAATAAGTTAATTTCCAGAAGTATTATCAAAAGGCATGCACAAACCTACTGAAAATTACCTTCATTGACTCTCTACAGTGTACCTTTGAAGTAGTTTCTTTGATGATAGCCTGGCATTCGATCACAATTCTTAGGAGAAGTTTTTCAAATAACGAATTTCAAATGATTGCAAAGAGAGATCACTGGATGCCAAGTCCGGCGGGCGAGCTGATGCTATACGACCTATCCATTTGTTCGGGAAATTTTGGTATAGTCATTCTCTCATATGCAACATGAAACTTTTGATAATAATGGCAATAAAGCACATCTCAATGATGATGTGAACTCAATCCCATTAGACTATCAACATTTTGCATAGAAATTGATAATAACAAAGCCAGCTCACTCATCGGACTCATCGGCACCCAATCGCTTTTTTCGTTGGAGACATTGACATATTTGATTTATATGACTGATCCTACTGATGCCGAATGATTGAAAAGAATCAAGGTAGCCCAGGCAATTACCAGTAGAATTATTTGGAAAAATTGGAGAAATATTATGGCAAATAGACCCTAGAACTCACAGGGAGACAATGGACATTTTTTTAACATGTTACGTGAATGATGAAAACATTTCAGTAGGTATAGCATTTTCGAGGTTCGAAAACTATTGAGGGTAGATCCAGTAGAAAAATGGCCTGGAAGGAAATGTGGTGAAAATAAATGTTTCTTTGGAATAATTAGCAAAATAGTGGAAATGAGGTTAAAACTACAGTTAATCATTGAGGGTACTTAGTGCGCCTTTCATTGTCACTTTCGAATGTTCAGAGAAATGTCTAAATTTCAATAGGAACAGCATTTCCTGAGCAAACCAACAATAAGCAAGTTTTTCATATGAAGCATCTTGTAGGCCAGTAACTCTACATGAATTTCAGCCAAAAACTCAGCACAGAATCATTCATCTAGAAACGAAATGAAAATCGAACACATAACTCCAGGGAACAAACACCCTTCCCGGCATTTTCGGGATTGTCGGGTTCAAATGCCTCAGCACATTCGACTCTTTCATCATCACAAGGTACATCACAGAGCAATAAAATATATAGAGATATCTTTTCTTCCTCATCTTACATGACGGGCTTGTTTATTCTGAGATTAACAATTTGTTGTTATCCTGGTTCCTTGGACCTTGGCAAATTAGCCGCTATCGATTGCCATCTGGGCGGCACTTGTTCTTCAGTAAAGAAATTTTCTTGTAACGTCAAATAATTCACCTCTGTTTACGTTAGTCACTCACGATCTAGGTCGCACTGTCCGAATGACGTATAAATTTGCTCATAACACGTAAAAAACTTTCCTCAGACATGATATGACTGAGGACATCTGATATTGACTATATGCACTAGAATGACTTTGTTGGTGGTCTCTCGGGTGTTATTTCCATTATATATAGCCTTTTCATCTGCGCTATCTGTCAGTTGTATTTCATCAAAATATAAAAAATTATTAAGTGCGTGTCGCCGAGATGTAAGCATACCAAAAATAGTTTGATAGCAATACATCGAATGTTGGCGAATTCAGCTTTACCGTGTTGAGAAACGTATATTCATGTTTTCCTTGCCACCCAACAGGAAATCAAAGCGCAACAACGAACTCAATCTAATTGGTAAGCCACAGCGATGTGATATTATACGTCACTGCAATGTCATGAAAGGATATAAATGACATATAAGGCCTGTTCGTTTGTATTGCTGAACTTGCTAAAGTAGTTTATTCCCATAGTTGTCCTTGTTCATGGCATGATGTAAACAGAGAGAGTAATAGAAAAAAATCAAGTTCAGCAGGTAGAGCAAGCACAAACGAACAGGCCTATAATGGGAGTCATGTTTATGTCGTGATTATCACGTCCGAGTGGTTGCCTGTGATACGAAGTAATGGGGTCTTGTGTATTGTAATTCATAACCATTTATTCGCATTCCTTAGGCCCGTATTTAGTCGTTTCCTCAAGAACTCCTCAAGTCCTCCTCATCTAAGGATTCCTTGAGGACTCCACAGTACTTGACGTTAAACTTGTTTTATAGACCTCCCTTGAGTATTCCTTCTAAAAGGAGCCCTTACACTTGACAACAGTGTATAATTTTAGTGTTCTATGACCTAATTTGTTGTTTCATGTCACGTGTTTGTCACAAAATATAAAATGTCGAATTTGACAATGAGTGTCGAGAAAGGAAAATATACTGTGTCGAAAGATTCTAATTATCCAGTAATAATCTTCAAAGGTTGGTTCAAATTTGTTCAAAGATTTGTATTTCGTGTAAAATAATTTATTCAATATCTTCCCTTATTTGGTATATATTCACGTGCACACAGTCCAGCAACCCTAACTCTAACAATATATTACTTCGATCACAGATAAAATATATCCAAGGTTTCGCAAAATGAAGAAAGGGTCGAAGAGTTTATCGATGACGATGTTGAAAAATTACAATACAAAAATTACTCTATTGAAATCGGATTCTTTCAAGCTGCAATGGAATAATATGCCAGGGAGAGGAAAAATATCCATTTGATTGAATACTTCGAATGAATCAGTGATTTTGTGGGGTTGTTCATTAAAAAGTATGTATTTCAATCTCATGAACAAATCATCAAGATGATACATTATATATAATTGTAAATATGATGAGTTTGCATTATTTGTAATATATACCTATTATTTGAAATAAAAAAGATTTACTTTTCATCTATGATCTATACTTGAATTAGCTTCTACTGGAAATCGATATACTTGAATCATATTCTCTGTACAAATTTCAAGACTTATTCATTTGATTACTACATTCAATTTCATCATTCCATTCATGGAATTCATAACTTAACCTGAAATGATACTAGAAATTGGATCAAGGAATGCTCAAGGTACCTTTCTACCTTCCTTGGAATTGATATTTCCTTGAGGCTTCCTCCGAGCTCATATTACTACTTTAAATTGGAAACTGGTCCTCAAGGCTGTTTTAAGGGACGAGGTCACATTAAGGAGCGACTATAAATACGGGCCTTGTAAAATGCCTTTAAATCGAAAGTTAGGTTTATTGCATTATGATTGCTCTAAACTCTAAAGGATCGTCTTCACGGATGTTTGGGCAAAACGAATTCGTGTCTCCGAGCAAAATACTGGATCCGCGCCTGATCTTCCCCGACCGTGGCTTCCCCACTTTTGCATAGAAACCAGTTATAAGTATAATGCATTGTTCAGTATTCGGACATTGGCATCTCTATGTCTTTTATCGTTCTGAGGTACTGCCCAGCCGCATGTACTACAAATAAAAATGACAAAAACCCATCTGACCCAATGTCCTTACTCATGAATCGAACTGTTTGCCGAATGTATGTGGGTCTTGCTTTTGATGCTACGCTGTTTAGAGATGGACGATCGACCGAGTGAGGTAGTGCTGCCCCCCTCGGCGTCTCTGGTCATCTCCTTTTCCGTTGGTGACGTCAGACTGGACAGGCTGGCCGAAAGGTTCATATTCGAACTCACACTGAGCATCGACGGATAAGTAGTCAGCTCCCCGTTTTCGATCTCAGGTTCTTCGGTTGGAAGACATGTTACTACCATTGCTTCTAGACAATTTACAAACAGCTCACTACTTTCTGCCATATTGTTGTACTGAAATGAGAAATATCAGATTTTTTCAAAGAAATTTGTCTAAAAGGGTATTGCAACTCCATTGACAACGGTTCAAAGGCGATTCGATGAAGAAAAAGAAGGTCTTCAAGTTCTTAGTTTTAGAAATGATACAAAACGTTGATGTCAGATATACCTAAAATTCTTTGATACATAACAAGCGATATGTTTGTCAAATCTCGATTTTCGGAATGAGTATGTTTACATTTTTGTTTCACCACATATGATTCAAATTCATTGGTAGATTTAAAGTTATTTTAGTTTTCGAATTTCCGATTCGAAATTTTAAACTATCATAATTCCGGAATCAGATCCGGTGTTAGTCATTTTGATAAATAGTCCCAAAATGTTTAGAAAGTAAAGTAAAACAAAACTTCTATTTTATTCGTCCCCAGGTTTTGAACAGGAATAGGTATAGTTAATGATTATTGTTTAATTCTATCAGACAAAACAAAAAAAGAAATAATTCTTTCATCAAAAGCAATACTGATTGCTTCTCACCTTATTGAATGGTCCTGCAAATCTCCACAGCCCTCCGAAGCCACAGCTCTGCAAATAATGCAGTTGTTGTTGCCCTGTATCTTCACAGGCTATCATGTTTTGTATAATACTCCTAACAGCACTTAGAATATCTTGATCATGGCAAGAAGTCAAAACATTGTTGATCTTCATGTCAAGTAGGTTATAACTAAAATTGAGAAAATTTTCATTTCAATACAGAATTATCAGTTCAACAGATTTTTGCATCCTTAAGACTGATCTGAATACTTAATTAGGTGTATGGACAAGTGTTCCAAATATCGAAAAAAATTGCTATGTGTTTCGTTAATTATGACCCTATCAGGAAATGAGCAAAATCGATCAAACATATATTTCGGTTATGGACACTGGTCGTAAAAAATATATGGTATATTCAGAATCACCTCGGTGACGTATTTGTTTTCCCAAAGGAACATTCTGTATACATTATATCTTGTAAGTATGTAAGTATACAGAGTGATTCATCAAGGATGGGAAAGTTTGGACAATTTTAAATTGAAGAGAACTTCGAAGAAATAAAATACCTTTCCACCGCACATCGCGTCCCCTCCCCCTTTATCAGACCAGTGATTGACCGCTAACCTGGTAGGGATCGAAAGGATTCTTTGGTTACAGTCACATCAGAAAACGGCAAAAATATATATATAATATAATTAAGTGAGAAGACGTCAAAGAAGTTGTACGAATGTTGGATCATACTCAATGCACTGTTTTGAGCAGATAATACATTATCCTCAACCAATGTTTAATGATAACTGTCTCTGGGTTCTGAATGGATGATGGGCATGTAGGTTTTCCTCAGAGCATACCTAAGTAGCTACTTCCCAACAAGATATATATAATGATGAAGATGGAAAGCACTAATTTCGAGTGACAATGGAAAATGGAAAAAACTCCATCGCCCCGTGTGAGAGTCGAACTCACAACCTCTGGGTTACATGCCCAACGCTCTGCCAATTGAGCTACAGGGACACTCGTCGATCAATCGGCAGGAAGGTATCGAGTTCTCATCACACACCAGGAATAATGAAAAGTCAACAGAAACACAAAACCAGGAAATATTTTGATGATAGTTTTCATCATAGGATAGACCAATCCTGGGTCATGTGCATACTAGTTGCGCAAAATAAGAAAACCTTCTTCAATTAATGTAAAAAGTTCAAAAGTTGACCAACTTTCTACTTGTTATTTGATAAATGATTGTCTGCATAAACACAGTGATTGAAAATAGGAAGTTGAACTCATAAATGATAATTGCAAGTTGATATAACTGTTACATGATAATTGTTTTTTGATGTTGCAAATTTACACTTACATTTTCAGCAAGGTGGATTCAGTTTGCTACTCAAGTTCACAAATTTTTCTTGTATGGGTGAATTCATTAATATTTATAAATAAATTGATTAGATTAGATGAAATGAAATATTTCACTTACATAACTGGAAACACTTTGGGAAACACTACAGCCCCTTCCGCCAAATACTGATATAAAGTTCTAGTTTCGGCTTCGTCAGTACTGTATTTGACTAAGGTGGCCAAAGTGGTCAAAACAAGAGCCTGCGTCGAGAAGTCGGTCAGTACTTCAGGATCGAGTAGAACATTATTTTCGTTGCTAACCGATACTCTAGTACTCCGGTTCTGAAATCAATGTCAATTACAATTTTGAGATAATCAACGCGGTACAGTGTCTGTTGATTTTTGTGCAATATCTTCTTCGTAGGTAATTTATCCCATTTCAATAATTTCACATAGACTCTAATTTTCAAAGAGAATTCTGCCATTGCCATTGGAATCTAATACCGCACCAAATAACAGGATAATAATTAATACCAAAATGATGAATATTACTAATTTGCCAGTGATAGGATCTGAAAAAATGGTTTCAGCAGCAATTATGATATAAGGCGATTATTGATGTCAGAGAGTCGAGGGATTTACGGAGAGCCTCAAATACTTGATAATTTGACATTATAAATTTCAAATAATACCAATACAATACACAAGAACGAGCAATGATATTAATAAGTTGTGCTAGAAAACCGGGCTAGCCGGTAAGTGTATTTCGCAATCATATACTTTCCAAAGTAAATTATCGGTGAGGATAATCTACTAGGGTTGAAAGTCTGAACCCTTTAAATATAAATATAGGAACATAATCAGTACTTATCATTGGTAACCTTACGAAGAAATAAAAAGAATCAACAGTTAGATTTAGTATAGGTAGGTTGAGTCATGGCAGATGAAAATGTTCAGAGAATATTTTGGCTGTATATTTTTTGGACCGTTACTTCCGACATTCTATTGCTTTACATTTTAGGTGTCGGTATGTAGTAATTGTACATGTGGGTCAAACACAAAGCTCAAGTTTATTAGAAATATTTTTCAGTCCTTGTTCAAAATAGTTCGATATTACACTGTTAATTTTTCTCAGCCCTGAAGATGAAAGCAAGAACTACTGAAAAATTCAATAAATCGTCAAAATAGAAGATAAGCAAAAAAATATCAAACTGCTCCTGGAACCATAAAAGATTATGAGTGCATGAAATAAATTACTAGGGACAGGGCGCAACACATAATCCACGCGGTAGGATACAGCGGGGGCACAGATCACCGGGACAAAATTTACAAGAAAACAATAATTATTATTATTGGTAGGGTAGGTAAATAGCCAAAATTGGCGCAGAATGATGTGTCATGGGTAGAAGGGTAGTCGGTTGAGATCGAACTGTTTACAGAATACTCATTCATAGTTCAATTTCCATGCGTAGACGCAAAAAATAATCCATGCGGAAGCAAGTCTACAGAAGATTTTCGGCCGACCCTGACAAAAAACATCATTGAAATAGCGAATCACTATCGGCCTCAACAGTGAATGCCTCCACAGCTTTTGTTTTTCTAGAAGGAAGGAAAATATAAAAGATCCCTTCTACCTAAGAAAGGAGACTACTTTTTCTAAACAATGTAACTTACTCGGCCTAAATGAAACTTCTTCCTAAACAGTACATCTTTTGGAAAATCACTTGAGAAAACAGACCCTTGCAAACCCGAGCCACCGACGTGGCATTTGGACACACAGCACACTGTTCCACTCGTTTATTTGAAAATTATGGTATGAAGAAAGGATTTAGTTGACAAAGCAGTTGTTGCGCCCTGTCTCTACAACTTCCGAACAAATTAACATGAAGACACAAAACGTACTCGAAGAAAACATACATCAGGGTGCAAACAGAGACTGTTGAAAGTTATTACCTTTGCTTCATCTTCGTCACTGAGAGGTTTTTGGTCTTTTGAAGCTGGCATGGAAAATGAACGTTGCATTTTGAAGAGGGCTCGTGCAGTCTGATATGATGGGCCGCCACGAAAGGAAGACAAACAGGCAATATAAGCAGTAATAATCAATATGCAATAACGGATGCTTCTTGCACATGTACTCTGTTATTTGGAACATGTGCAGAGTAAAACAGGCAGCAAGCAAGATTTTATAGTTACTTCTTTCGGTGATAATACGAAACAAAGTGTATCTTCATAATCAAATAACAAATATGAACATGTAATCGAACTAATTCGCAATAATTGAACCTAGAAATAACTCGAAATATTCGATTGAATAATGACAATGTACCTAGTGACCTAGTAGGTTCACTCATTTTTGTTTCACACTTTTTTTTTATATAAAATGGTAGTGCTCTAGAATGTTCATAGTAGAAACTCAAGGTCTCATAACTATAGAAAAGATCATATGAATCGCGAATATTTCTTCAAACGGTGACTACTCGCAGGAACTAATCGATGATTCCAAAATCAGTTCACAGATTTGGAAGGCCTTCCTCTCTGGCAATGTAAACCTTCCATATTGCAAAGCCATTCGTCAAGTTCGTACCTAGCTTATCAAATTCATATTGCACATATTTTTTTGTATTTTTCTCCTTTTTATGTACAATACATGTACAGAAAAACAATATGATGATTCATTTAAGGAGTAAACAGATGCGTCATGTCATCTATCATGAGGAATTACTATTTGTTCTACAACAAGAAAATATTTTCAAGTTAGGGGAGTTTCATAATTATTTTATTATCTCATGCCCCATTTGTATGGAATTGATCAGACATTTATGAGATGTTAGCTATACAAAAATAATCTATTCTGGAAAACAGGAAATAGTTTGTGATCAAGTACTTGGGTATGGCAACAAAGTATGAGATACACTTTGTTAAGAAAGAAAACAGTGAAGTGCCATTAGTTATAATTCAAGCAATACGAAAGTATGGGATGAATAAATCAAACTACAGATGTGAGAACTTCGACTCATGTTGAGTATAATAAGTTCTTGGTGTACCTACCCAGTACACAGGTTTATGATGAAATGTAATTGATTCATTAGGCACTCGAATAACATTCTGTTTTCTTTCAGTGAGAATGAACAATCCAGACATATGTTAGTCAGTTTTGAGCTTTCTACCTGTATTTATTTAGGGTTCATATCATTAATACAAGTAGCATTCTTTTTTGATGAACTTAGAGAGCGGTTGTAACAGTGAATAATTGAAATTGAATAAATGGGATGTTAGCGTTCAGACATAAGTTTTGTTCAAGCCAATCAAGAACCTACCGAGGAAGGTTCTTCATAGTGCCCATAAAGTTAATTACAATTTTTAGTACTCAAATTGGAGCAGAGCAAATAATGAAAAATACTTATTGGTCAGAAAACCATAGAACACCCTCGTCTCTAATTTTATAGGATTTTTATATGATTTTGAAATTGGTCATTTTTATGGAATTGGCACAGTCCAACGTTGAAATTTAGTATGGAACATCCGCTATGATACTGATTATGTATTTTCAGTTCGCATATTCGCCAACAGAAAATACATTTTGCTGAATATTCCAAAAATTTTAAGAAACGACCTGAAAAATATGGGTATGCACTTGGTTTGCTGAGAATTAGGACATTTTAGTATAAATATCAATAATAATAAGGGAAAGGATTTGAAAGTTGAGTGTTACCAAGATTTACTGTAATCATATGCTATCATATGTCAACATAGTTAGCCCATAAAGGGCCAAAGTAACCTTTTTTTATTCAATTTACATATTCTATACCTACGGTAATAATAAGGAATTTTAATGTCAAACGAACAATAGCCAAGTTTTAATATGTCCACTCTGAACTGAGCTACTATCTACTAATGTATTAGCAATATTGAAGGAGTTACGACAAGAGCTATGATTTTTAAAATAAGAAAAACAATGGGTGAAGGGCATATAGAACATATAATGGGAAAAATACGCCTACGACAGGTAAACAATCACTACTAGAAAGTGACAACAAGTATAACCTACTTAACAAATTGTTCAAGAAGATATGAGCCAATATGTTTGACGCTTTAACTTCAACTAGACTATTCATGGAAATGCATTCTCATTATCGCAAATATGTGTTTCAAATTCATTATTTGCTTTAAATTCGTTCATTTGTACAACATTTTCAACATTCAGTCCTCATTAGTCCAATAAAAACGCACCGCGCTGTCGAAGAAGATATTGATTGATAGTTATTGATGCCAATTCAAATTTTGTTGGATGCGCTAAAAGAGGAAGGCAATTCGAAATTGGCCATGCTGTATATTATGACATTCAAAATTCAAAAAATATTTCCCTATTTAGACTGGTTTTATAGGTTGCAGTTTACTGCTGTTGACACCCGTTACGATGCGAATTTCAGAATACTTCAACAAAGTTTTAAAGTCGCCTCGACACGGACTCATAACTTCTTGAAACATAGATAATCACTATATCAACCTCAAACCTAACCTTTTTGACTAGATCCTACCTGATGTGCTTGCGGCGCTTGCTTATATCTGGCTTGCGTTAGGGCTGATTGATCTAGTAAGTCCCATGATTTCTGTCTACGGTTTACGTTACTGGACGTACTGGTTCCTGAGATAGTTCCGTGATGTGAGGAAGCATTACTTATTACATTATCCATAACGAATTCCTGCGATATCGAGTCAGGCAAGTATCGAGGTAGGGAGTGTTTGATGTGGCATCTGCTTTTGACCTCTTCCGAGAATCCGACCAATGCTGAAGCAAATCAACCAAGTTAACCTCAACAGTACCGGCGGTAGAAAGGTGGCGTACTGTGTACAACAAAAATATTATGAGAATAAAGGTCGTGACACAATGTAAAGGAATAGAGAATAAGGAATAAAAAATAAGAAATACATGTCTGCTATTGGTCAATTCTAACCTTGAACGCGTTTTGAACCAATCATAGTGCTATTCCTTATTCCTATTCCTTATTCTTTTGCATTGCGTTTGGACCTTAAGCTTTTTTTCCCCATGTTTACTTTTTCAAGTTTCAATATGAATAGAGTTTCCCTAATAATTGCCAATAGTAGCGTGATAGTACTGTTTCACATAAGGCATGTTGACAATGGGCTTTTCCAGTATCGTAAAATTTGACCCTTTTCGCTATAATGTTATGCAGGAAAGTTAAAAAAGTTATTATGACCACATATTTATCGAGAAAATCGAACGACAAATGAATTATTCAATATTGAAAATGCTATTTCAATACCTATTACCTGTGAATGCAAACTCTACTGAGTTGTGATGTCAGTGTCTTCTTGCAAGATGATGCAAGGAGTGCAATGATTCGAAAATACTATGTAGTAGATGATTAGTTGATTGGTAATTCTCTGCGAATCACATTCAATTTACTCTGAACTCCAAAGAATTCCATTAGTTTCAAGATTAGCTAGGATAAAATGTGATGCACGCATCTAACAGTAAGACGCTTTTTATATACTTAGTTTGGTTTTAGTTATGTTGAAATATCGTTGCCTGATATTGTTATAATCAACAAATTCAACAGTGTTACTATATCTCAAGCACCCATTCCCGGAAAATCAAATTGCTAATCTGGCAACTATATGTCTACAAGCGAAAGAGATGAAGCAGCTGGCTCATTCCCTTCACTTCACTGTTCTTATTTCTCAATATTAGTGACAAGAACGCAGTGATACTTGTACTAATATTGATAGAAATAGAACCAAGTAAGTAATTTAGTATTGATTGATTCGGAATTTGTTTCTTTCCCTATGGTAGATAGGTATAGGTAGGTACATAATAGGAGGTGAGTATCTAAACTTGAAAGAACTTTACTGGAAGAGTTTTATAATTCGATACAAAATGAAATTTCGCTTACAATTTTGAATAATCGTCCGACAGAAATGAACCAGCAACTAAGTGATTATGCAATGCAAATTTTTGATACCACAAATTTTCAGGTAACTAGTTATTAGCTGAGTTATCAAACAGCATCCTTTGTATTATTTGTTAAAATGAAATAATCATAGCTTTCTCTCCAAATTGGCAACATTGTCCGATCGTTTGAATTCGCTCGTTTATTTTGGCGTTTTCAGCAATTTTTTATGCGATTAATTTATGAAAAAAAATCTCGAAAAATTATTTCAAGGTATTCCAGAGCCATATATTTCAAGATATATTTTTCCTAGAAATGACTGGAAAGGCCCATTCAAACAACACAGCAGTTCTATGATGAGAAATATTCAAAATTAATTTTGTGATATCCAACTGAAAACTAATTTCATAGCTCTTTCGAATTCACTGCAAATTTACACTTCACTATCATATGTTTTAAAAATTAGTTTTAGACATGGAGATAGACATAGAAAGTTGGTACTGTAAGAGCTCACCTGTAAGATATGCAACACTATCTGGTGTAACTTCAAACTTGTCTCTCTTATGAGGTTTAGCAACGATAGTCAACAGCATAGTCAAAATCCTTACAGTTCTAGAAACTGTTGTAGGTGTGGGATGACGGTACCCCTTGAGCAAATGACCGACTGTGGCGAAATGAAAATTAGCCTTGAAACTAAGACCGACAGCATGATCTAACTGCTTGAAATGCCACTCTAGTGGTTCTCTAGTTTGCATCATCACGGATTCCAAAGACTAAAAATATGCGTATTCAGGATTTGTTTATAGAAATCAGGATAGTATTTTTTACGTGAGCGTGAGCAAATTTCTCTCACATCAATAGATAATTTGAAATCACAACACTTATAGAAAATTGCTACATTTGAAAGCCCAGATTGCTATGTCATAATACCTGCTAGCTAAATCAAAATATTTGGGAATTTCAATCAACATTAGAGTATATTAAAAACTTCAACCAGAATTATATTAGTTAGTTCATGTTTCATTGGGGAATAGTGCGCTAAATTAACTTTATTTTAGAATAGGTAAAAATGTTATACTTTTATTCAGTAGATAAATCAGTTTTATATTTAAGCTACTATGTAGGTAGTTTTTAATTCAAATGTTGTAATATGGTACTGGGTTAAGAAGAACAGCTTTGCTGGATTTCGCCGAGGTAATTGAAAATGAAGCCCAATTATTATTATTATTATTATTGTTATTGAATTTATAATAATTCCAGTCATGACTATGCAGCTTCCGACGCCACGCAGAGCTGTGGGGTGAATAATCACTGGGACCAAGTGCCGTGTACCCTAAGTAGACGCAATGGTCCAAGTATGACGGTCTTTTGCATTCCACCAGCCAGGAAGTGTGCCCCATCACAGCATACAGGAATTTTCTGGAATTCCGAATGCAGCGTATTATCATTATTAGTGACCGTGTGGTTTAAAGGGTTCAAACTCGTTTTGTTAGCTCTTCAAGCGATAGAAGAAGTATTTCCAGTTCGAATCCGTCTATCGTCCGAGCATTTTTCATAACAATATTCGGTTTGTTATTATAATCCTAACAGCATCTCGGCACCCTAGAAGTGGTTCAGACTCCTTTATAAGCTGTAGATGACGCTCTTCCTAATCCTGCGCAAGTTTCGACTTTTGGGACTCGGTATCCAAGTCAATTTTTTTATCCAAAGTAGATAAGTAGTACAAATTAATATATGGCACTTTTCATACCGCCCAATGATTTGAAAATAATTTGGTAACTTTGTCAATGCATAAACATTCAAAATACTTTTTAATAATTAGGCCGCTTTTGATTAGATAAAATATCCAGTAGAAACGCAAGCGAGCTAGACCTCAATCCAAATTACTAAGATCAGTTCTAAAACACGAATTTATTTAGAATTTTCACTCGCGCGATATTTTTGTTGCTAGCTACTAGAACGTAAATTCAGATTGAGACAACTGAATTAATTCACTTCACTCTGTAATTCGAGTTTATTTTACATTTTATTTATTGAAAAATCCTATCTGTAGGTGTTGAGATTGATTAAACAATCAGTCGTCTTCTGCAGAGTTTGTCAGATCGAAGATAATTATTAATCGATACGAATGATCGATGTAGACAAAAAGTTGATGCCGAATTAGCATTAGCAAAAATATATGGTATATTTTTAATAACTAAGAAAGTTCAAAATGACTCACCTTGTCCTCAAAGATTCCTTGTGAATCCAAAGTATGTAAATTCTGTTCCAGCAAGGCCAAGCCCGAGGCATACAATGATGCCTCATCCAACTGCAAAACAGAGGTAGCCACCCAAAACAGTGCCTTATGGATAGGAGATTCAGGCCTCAACAGTGGCTGCAGTCTGGTCAAACACATAACTAGAGCCTCAATCAACATGATATCTGTGAAACTCTCCAGAGCTTTCACCAAGATTTTCAGCAGTTGAGTCATATCGCGATCAGTTATACTTTTGCTTATACACCCAAAAGCAATCAGAGCTCTTGGTTGTAGAGCCGGATTGAAACAAAAAGCGAAACTTTTCGCTAAAGACGTCCAACTGGTGAGCCAGTCACAATCAGGGATGTCTCTCATGCAAGCTTCCATGATTTCGAGTAACGCGTCCGTTATAACTTCTAGGGAGGTCAAAGACAAACGTTCTCTGTCTTGGCTAGACACACCTGAAAAACTCCTTTCACTGCCGAACCATTTTTCATTCGGATGCCTGTAGCTCGATCGAAAAGCTGTCACAGCTGCCGATTTCACTTTACTTATACCAAAAAGTAAGTAAAACTTTGGCAGCGAGAACTCGTCAAGCGATAATCTGAGTAAGCGTTGTGTTTCTTCTGAGAATGAGGGACTTGTACATGTACATAGAGAATGGATGATGTTGATGACTAAACCATGTGTAGATGCTCTCATACTCAACGAACCGGAGCATACTAGGAATGTAACAGTATGAAATAAGTAAGGTAAGTGGCGTACTACGTCTAAACTGTTGTTGAATGACAACATGAGAAGATATCTTGCTAGTATTGCGATGTCATCCCACATCATATGTTGTTCCAGAAGTGGTGTTGGGGATTGACAAGTTTTATCAACAACCTGGAAAGGAACAATAATACTTACTCGACTGTTTCATAATGTTTAAGGTTATGATAGTTTGTGACATAAAACCAAGGAATATCCAAAAAATTAATTTTAGAAATAGTTCAGCAACAAATGTGTACTGTAGACGTGTGCACTTAGAAATAATAAATGAATATGTTCTCAGGAATTCTCAATATTCGTTTGGTTATTTCTTAGTTTTCATCTTAAGATCTTCAAATCAACTCTTCAGATAGTAGCAAATGAAACTACTATCAGCTGTATAATTTATCAGAATTTCAGTGGAATATAGTTTCGAAACCCGAATATTTCAATGTGAATAACAAAATGGAAGTGGGTACTGTGTCTGCGTCATAAAAGCAAACAACAACAAAATATTTATAATTCAAATCGAAGCCTTTCTGTATTGGTGATGACGTATCAAATAAAGATTTTATAGCTGATGATAGGCGCAATTTTGATATGCTTCAGGTTGAGTTAATAATAAAGACCAAATAATACATACAATATATGAAAAGTAAACAATATCTATGGCGTCTCGATAGTCAGTCCCAATATTCGATTCAAAATAATGACAGCTGTCTTAGTTTTATTTTCAACTAGCTCATTAAAAAAGTTACATCAAGACATACACGAATATTAAGTGAATTAGGACTATTAAGTTAGAACTGGATAGTCTCAATTGAATGGTATATATTATCAACTATCCAATGAAACTAATCACTATGAATGCTCTTTCATTTCATGATGATGTATTCTACTTTCCCCTTGAAACTAATTTCACTCACATTCGACAATTAATTTCATGTAAATTTAGTCACTTCAGAATAAGGTTTCAATAGCACTCAAGTTCAAGTTCAACGATAATATTCAGATTTTGATGAAATGTATCAGAAGGAGCTCAAATAGTCTGAATGCCAAATATTATTCAGATGTCATGATGTAAATTTCTCAACAATGGAACAACAAATATAACATGAACTACGAACATCACAAAGTGCCACAATTCTAAAATGTAACCAGAAATATATTACTATATTTAACAAGCACATGGAGTTCATGATCAAGATTGAAACATGGGTACCTCTAGTACTTTATTTCTGGTTAACATTTATGAGTATTCAAGACAACATGAAATGAAATATAGTTTGTTCCAACATATTCAAATGAACCCACCAAATTCCCACTGACCAGAAGAATATCAAATGTTCGTATGGTGAAGCTGGATGGACAATTTATGAGATCAACTTCTTCAACCCCAGTTTCTTAAATTCGGAAATCACAGAAAAAACTCCTACTCGCTAATAAGCGGGAAAAACCAATTAGTGAAACCGGTTATCGAGAAAAAAATGTATGTGAAGCTTCAATAGTGCTATTTCAGATGTCAAAGCTAACTGGTTAGAAGTTGGAGGGGTAGACATTTGAAACATTATAATTATTATGACTACATCTACCAAGAAGTGTGAAGATATGTGAAAATTATATAGATCTAGCTATGGGTTTTTCAGATATGTGAATAGGTATTGTAAACACACTAAGATCATGTAACAGGTTACTATAAAAATGTGAATTTTGGCATAAGCAGCAAGAAAAACTCATGGTTAAATTGAAAAGAACTGAATATCAAACTAACACAATAGAATTATCGGAATGCTTATTCTGATATAAATTATATCACCGGTTCCCATAAGCTTCCTAAGAACTGAAGATTCTGCACCGACGTTCCCAGGGACCTCTTAGATTTCGCTGACTCTTCAAAATCATCTTGTTGCATTTGTTCATTCCAACATTCAGTCAGACTTATAACTTTGTACGATAAACATCTCATAAAATTCGCTCTGCTTTTGTACTTTGACAAATAAATTGTTTTTTAAAAAGAGACTTTGCTAGTTCAAAAATAAAATTGGCGCAGTCGGTAGGATAGTCGGGATTAGTGCATCGTGCATTAGTTTTGTTTCTACAATTAACCGGCTATTTCAAAGAACTTTCGAGTGGTTTTCGGACATTTTCGTCGGACAGAGTGGCTCCTTGAACTTCAGGCAACCCAGTCCATCGAGGACCTATCCAGTGGAAATCAACCAGAACCAACCGAAGAGGGAAAGAACACAAATCGTCTTTCTCTGCGAGGCAATTGACCAGGTGAAGACATTGCAGCAGAACCGGCAATTCCTTCATAAGTTAGGTGAACGATGAGCAAAGTCATCTTTATATTGTGAGTACAGTACATGTCTTTAAACTTGGAAAAGCTTTTTGAGAATCTATCTTTGGCAACGTCTTCTTCTGACTCAGACGGTCCAGATAATAGTTTTTCAAATACACACACTACTAGTAATAGCGATAGTGATAATCAATCAATAATCAATCACCCAAATATGGCTCCTCAGGATTTCAAACCCGATTATTTGAAATGTGTCCCTGAATTTGACGGGAACCCTAATGAACTGAACAGATTTCTTGTTACTTGTGAGAGTATAATCAATAATTTTTATGATAATACTAATGCAAATAACTTCTTGAATACCTTTTTACTTCACTCACTGATTGGCAAATTGACCGGCAACGCCCGATTAATGGTAAATATTCAAAATGTTAGCAATTGGCAGGAATTAAAAAATACCTTGTATCGTAATTTCGCAGATCAAAGAGATGAGGCTTGTCTCAATAGAGATTTGGTAATGGTTAGGCAATCTCCGAATGAGAAGCCCCAGCAATTTTTCGATCGCGTTCTTCAGCTCTTGAATTTATTGTGTTCATATATTGATGTTCATGAAACTCCAGGACCCGCAGTTTTATTGAAAAGAAATTTGTATAATAAACTAGCTTTAAAATCCTTCTTGAGTGGATTGAGAGAACCGCTTGGAAATACGATTAGATGTATGCGTCCTAATGACTTGAATGAAGCACTTCAATTCATAACTCAGGAAGAAAATAATCATTATTACCAGAATAATTCACAAAATAATTCTCAAAGTACCAATCGAAATATTACTAGACCTAATTTTCAGGTCAGACCAAATTTTAGGCAACAACAAAACAGCTATCAGAGAAATCAAAATTATTCAAATTTCAATCAACAACCAAATTTCAACTCCAGGCCAACATATAATCAATCACAACAAACTAATAATCATTTTCCATCACAACCAATTCATTTACAACCCAGGCCAAATCAACCTCAGAGATTTTTCAGAAATTCTCAAGTATTCAGGCAGCAACCGAATCAAAATACAAATGTTTTCAAACCGAATCCGAATTATAGACCTACATCTAATCAAACACCAATGAGTGTAAATACTAGGCAAACTTTCAATCACAGTCAACCAGGACCATCCCAATTTAGGCAACCACAAAGAAATTTCACTTCAGAAGAACTTTTTAATACTGAAGTCGATTATTCTACACCACAATCACAGTGTGATGAACAAATTGAGGAAAATAATCATTCAAAGCCATTTGATGAAGAACACGAATATTTTTATGATGAAAATTTTTACGTAGATCCCCCGAAAAACAATCAGACATAAGTAAACAGATAATTTCGTTCAATAGTACGGATTCTAGTGAACTACCGTATATAATATTTCCTGAACACAACCTAAAAATATTAATAGATTCGGGATCAACCAAATCTTTCATGGACCCCGAAATCGCATTCAACAATTTTCCAAATTTAATTCGAAATGACCCATTCATAGTGTCAACTGTTTTCCAGAAATCAGCTCATAAACATAGCGCTCATTTGCCTACGTCTAGAATTTTTAATCTGCCAAAGCCAACAACCCTGAAATTTTATTTATTCAAGTTTCACGATTCTTTTCATGGTTTAATAGGTTTAGATAATTTGAAGTTATTGCAAGCGAACTTGAATTTCGACAAATCAATTTTGATTACGCCTCATGCTAATATCAAGTTATTTTATCATAAGACGAGAAACGAATTAAACCTAATAAAAATTGCTCCACGATCGGAACAAATCATTAAAGTCAAAACTTCGATAGAAAATGGTGAAATTATAATACCCCATCAAAAAATCCATAATTGTGAGATACCAGAGTGTCTTACTATTGCGAAAAATGGCGAAGCCATAACTTCCATTTTAAATAATACGACTAAACTAATTACGTTAGATTTTTCTGCTCCACTTGACGTTGAAAAATTTGATAGATGTAATATTCAAGAATTTAATTTCAACAATTTTGATGATACCCCTAAACAAAAATTAGACATTTCCAAATTAAGAACCGACCACTTAAATATTGAGGAAAAATCAAACATCCTGAATTTATGCAAAGAATATTCGGATATTTTTTATAATGAAGACACATCTTTAAGTTTCACCAACCAAATTAAACATAAAATTCGTACAAATGATGAGATCCCAGTTTACACAAAAACTTATCGCTACCCTTTTATTCATAAGCAAGAGGTCGAAAAGCAAATCAATAATATGCTGCAACAAAAAATCATAAGGCCTAGTAACTCTCCTTGGTCGTCACCTATATGGGTGGTTCCCAAGAAGCTAGATGCTTCCGGCAAACAAAAGTGGCGTGTTGTTGTGGACTACCGCAAACTTAATGAAAAAACGGTAGATGATAAGTACCCATTACCGAATATAACGGATCTTTTGGACAAGTTAGGAAAGTGTCAATATTTTTCAACTCTCGATTTGGCTAGTGGTTTCCACCAAATTGAAATGGATGAAACCGATATAGCAAAAACTGCTTTTAACACGGAGAATGGTCATTACGAGTACCTCAGGATGCCCTTTGGTCTCAAGAATGCCCCTGCCACGTTCCAGCGTGTCATGGACAACATTCTACGTGGTATACAAAATGAAAAATGTCTCGTCTACCTTGACGACATAATAATATTTTCGACGTCATTACAGGAGCATATCGAACGATTAAAAACCGTGTTTCAGAGATTGAGAGATTCTAATTTTAAAATACAGTTAGATAAGTCCGAGTTTCTAAGAAAAGAGGTGGCGTATCTCGGCC